ACATATGCTCCTGCGCGCAAAGAATAATTGTCATCATTGAATGAAATTTAGACAAGCTTTCCACGTTTTGTAGAAGGGAAGTGAATTTGGAAAGAAGCTAGTCTGCTGCCTCGTGCCTACTCCTCGTTTCTCCCTTTCCGTGTCGAATTTTTGTAGAAAGTCTTTTCCGGGCAGCTGTGGTTATACAATGGACAGAATCTGTTGTTTGAAAGAAAGTTTGAAAAGAGAGAAGTTTTTGGGTATTATAGTACCTCAACACTGAAATGTTTTCGGAGTGCAGTTATTTTTTAACATGGGCCTATGTACAGCGCCTTATCGCCATCAGCACTCATAACCTGAGAGTCTCGGTTTTCTTTTTAAAATGACAAGTCAGTTTCTCTGCTTGTGGCTCAGAGTAACCTATGTAATCGAAGAGAACAAGCATACCTGGTGACGATCAGTGATAAACAAGCTAAGACTGGCTTCAATAATGATGGAAATCAACTTTGATACTTCAATGAAGTGCCAATAAAAATACAAATCAAGTTTCGGTGTACACCTGTTGCAATGGCACGGCAAAACCAAAATCATGACACAGCATTGCTGCCGACTGTTAGGTGCCAACGCTAGAAATCAGATCTGTTTACCTTCATGAAACGGTAGAACAATCACTTTCTATGTGAGGAAGTGCTAGGAGGTGCATGTGACCCTGCATTATTGTTAATGTGCGAAATTTCGAGCGGATAGTCTAAAATGTACCCTTATGGCAAAGACACTGCTGGGCACAAATCGTCTACACACATGTATGGCAAACACACCCATCAACTTTTTTTTTTGTTCAGTATTTGTTTCATGAAAAATCATTAGCGCAATTAAGCTCATGCACGTGACTGCAGTGGTCTAACGTGTCGTCACCTGGAGTCATAAAGCTAAAGGGTTGTTGCAATTTTTGTTGGTATTTTTTTCTAGCTATTTATAACAACTCTGGGGTTTGGGAGAGATGTCGTGCACATTGAAAATGTGCTAATAATTTTGTGGGTTGTAAAGTCATAGCCATGCAGCCTTGTCCCATCAGCATTCTTGTGTAAACTTGACTAACATTGATGGTCCTAAATTTAAAACCCCAGTATAATTTCTTTATAATAATGAAAAGTGGAACTGAAGCTAATTCTCTACTGGAACCAATGTGGCGTAAGCTTCATTTATTGACATTTCCAAACTATTTAGTTTAAATCTTTGTCAATTATCAGCTACAAAAACCTTTCTCTGTCGCGAAATACTTTTGCCTTGTCTAATGCCTTCTCTTGCAGACGTTCAGTGTTCACCTTCCACATGGTCATTTATTGCAATGTGCGAGCACTGTAACTATACGTGGATCAACGTCTGGTGTTGTGCATCTTGTTCACACTTGTGCGTCGCCGTCATATTAACAAGAAATGAAGCTCAAGCTTAAAAAACAATATGGCTTAAGGCTAATTCAGATAAATCAACCAAATATTTATGATGGATGACTGATGATAGAATAATGGTTTGTTAGAGAAATCTCATAGTGTCAATGAACCTTCTTTCCCAATTTTTTTGCAGCGCTGTCGTCACAAAAAATTGTTTTGCACATTGTTAGTCAAGGTGCAATGTCACGTTTTATACAGCCAGAATGTTAGTAAGTCCTTGTGGTGAAGGAAAGTCCGTAATTTATGTGAACATAGTATAGCATGCCTTTTGCGATATAAATAGTATTTGTGTTGAAACGCGTGTAAGCTGCAGTGCCTGGTGCAGAAGTCTTGAGCCTGCACAAAGTCCTTCGCACTGCTGTGCCTAGTATGCTGTTGCATTTGCACAACATAATTCGTGCTTATATTTCATATGGCATCCCAATTTATGCCATGTTTATAACAATGTAAAAGACGTAGTGTTGAAGCAGTGCTGTCATCATGCAGTGGTGGGAAACCTGCACCAATTTGAAATTACTGTGCCATACCGCTCCAAAAGGGTCTTTTTGCTAATTTCTGCCATTACTGCGCCACAAGGTGGTTTTGCAACCGAAGGTGATGTTAACGTTTGACTTCTGCACGATTGCAGCAGTGTCTTTTCTTGTTACCATTCGCAAAAAACAAAGGTGATGCGGCAACTACTGAAAAACGCACCAATATGCCTTACTGTCAGCAAAAAGCCCCCGTGTGTGGCATAGCGCCGCTTTAAGCGTAGTGCATGCTTTTAATAGCTGGCAACTCTCTTCAGAGCGCTGAGGTGTCGATCGCTGCCACCTCAATCATGTGAGACCGTGTTCAGTGAGCACCACTTTCCAGAAACGAAAACAGTTCGCTGTTGCAAAGTTGAGTGTTGTGGTACGTGGGAACTGAGACAGCTAGACTGGCACACGCTTTCATGACGCCACAGCCCAAACGCGCCTCTGTCAGCTGCCAGGACAGCTAGTGTGTCGCATTAATGCCTCATACATAGGGAGCCTCGTATATAGGGAGGGGAGTATAATCCAGCCTCATAGATAAAGAGGGGAGCATAAGGTCAGCCTCCGTACGTTGCCATGATAGGGTGGGGGGGTGCTGTGATAAAACCTTTGCCAACCCCCTCCCCTGAAGGAGAACCCTGTGCACGCTCATATATCTATTTGGTGGTTAATGTATACTATGTTTAGTGCACAGTTAGCCACATTCCTGGCAAGTTTCCTGTGTTAACAAGATTTTAACAATGACATATTACAAGGTGTTACGGTAACGAGCATTAAATGTGTGTGTGCACGCAGTGCACTGCTAGCTGCTATGAACTTCTTGCTGCAGCCAGCTTGTTAGTGCAACATCCTTCCCTATCTTATGTCACCGCTTCTTTACATAATCCTACTTTTGGTTATTTTTGAGCTTAGTGCTTCTGTATGATGCTTATGTAAACTAAGGAAACATTAAACTTGGAACTAATTTTTTTTACTCTGTGTGTTATGGAAAGCCTGTGTGTGCTCCAAACACAGAGGTAGCTGCTCCGAAATACTGGAAGGCATTCCCACCACTGCATCATAGAAACTAGTGGAACTGAAAGGCCATCGTACATGCCTGTGATCTGCACACTTGTGCAGAGTGCTGCAACATGCGATGACAAATGGCTGCAACACAGTCCTCACCATGTAGGAAGGAAAAGTATAGGAGAGGCCATGTCGTCATATTCGGGAAAGCGCCGCATCGCAAACACCCGCACTACCTCCTAGCAGAGAAGCAGATAAACACTTCGCGATTTCCGGCGACCAGTCGCCGCAGCGGCCTTGAGAGCAGTGTTCTCTGCCGGCAGCGAGTCAATGCACGAGGGCTGCTTCTTTTGCTTGTTTTAGGAAAGCTGTGCGATGCCCAGCTGTAGTGTATACTCGGTGCGAATCCCGTGCACCGCCGGATGTACCTGGTGGCACTTTTCACGTATGTTTGCTTCACTGTTGATCCACAATGCATGGTATTTGCATGCGGAGCTCTCAGCTGTACGCTCCGTTGGCTCTTACTCATTGCGTCAACTGAGCCAGAACACGCGCGAACTTTCGTTTTTGGTGTTGCAGGCATTGTGTCGCGTTTTCAGAAGTTGTGTCGTTCATATGGAAGGACAATAAACTTTTTATTGGACTAAATGTGTATGTGTTATAGGGTGTGCGCTCGCTGCGTGTTCTGTGTGCGCGTACTGGAATTACACACTTTACGTGCACGATCGCGTATGCAATCCAGTGGTGCCTTCTTATCTTACCAACCTGAGGTACGTCGAGTACTAGGCTGGCGTTGCACGTAATAGCTACGAAGCAAGCTCTCAAAATAGTGCATTGCCACACTGACACTCTATGCGAGCAAAGAACTGCTAATCGACCCGAAGATCGGGAAATCTGGCTAAGAGAGGGAAAAAAAATCCTTACGGCTAGTAGAACGCGTAAGTCACTGCCGGGTCAGTTCGAATACGATTATGCAGGAACTGAATGATTTTGATTACGACACGTACGGGTGCTTTCTGTGCCGTTGAACGAAAACACCCTACGAAGTATTTCAGCACGCCGCGCTCGGGCCTGCCATGCACGAACTGTCTGGGAAAGGTGTGCTGGCATCATTTTACCGCATGCAAACCATACAATACGCGTTAACGCCGGGACTATATAAGAGAAACTGCGCTGAAAGCACGCCGTGGAGCGTCTGCTGTTTTGTTTGCCCCATAAGTTTGACGTCACTTCCGCTTCCGCCACACTTCTCGCAATGCATTGGGATAGGATAGGGCCTCTCCTTAGGTTTTCCTTCCTCCATGGTTCTCACTAGGTCACCAATGTATAATCGTTATCGCGCTCGCCGACTTTCGTTTGCTGTATTTGTTGCATTTACAAATCGATCAGCACTGCATATAGAAAAATTCTGATTAAATGAAATGTTTTTATGTGGTTTTGCGCTAAACCATTCATCGATTTCACATACTATGACTGTAGAAAACAGGTACCATAAAATTGGTTGTGTGTCTCTTTCAAAGTTATTACATATGGTCCCAACACACGGCGTTGTTGCGCTTGAGCAACATATGCGTTTTGGTTTTTCCGTAATTCATGTATTATGCGAGGCGACATGCGCACCTTTGAATATTTGCTTCAGCAGTGGTATAAATGCTGCCTTATAAAGTTACCGTGCTATATCTCCGCTGTTCATTGCCAAATGGATGGTTGTTTCTCTTCTTCAGTTATAAGAAGTTATGCACTCAGTTTCTTTGCAGCATTTGCTTGCAGATAACATATGCAAAACACATCTAGGTTCTGCACATTAACGACCTCGTGAAGTTCTCTTATGCAAGATTCGATTTGCGAACGCATATATGTGCGTTGTGAAAATTTTAAAAGCTCGCATTGACAACTGGTTGTTCGTCATTTTCTAGTTGAGCTCTTGCTGCCTCATTGTCTAATTGGGCAGCGCATGCTGAACTGGCGTGCAGACGCAGTTACGCACACGTGTAGTTTGAATTTTGCTGCTTGCCGCAATGTTGTCTTTTTTTCATCACCGTGTCTGCAGAGGTTTCGTGTGCCGATAGCGAAGGTAGATGTCTGGAAGACGTGGATCATCATCTTACCCACCGCGGCACTCACCGTATGGCGGTGGAGGGAACCGCGGCTATGGTGGCGGTGGCCGTTCGTATGATGAGCGCAACAGCCACTACGGCCAACATGATGGCTCACGCAGTCCACATACCCAGAGCCATCCAGACAACAGATACCAGTCAAAGTCTATGCCACCACCTCAACAGCAGCCAAGATCATCATCCCAGCCTTCCAAGCCTTCACCGCAATCGCAGCAACAGTCTCCCCGTCAAACTCAACAGCAACAGCAGTCTCCGCAGCAAACACCTCGCCCCCAGCAGGCACCAGTGCAAGTGAACAACAGTCAGCCGCAGAAAACACCCGTGCAGCAACAGAAGCCTGCACCTGTTCAAGCGCAGACGAAAGACCAGGCACCGAACCAGCAAGCAACTCCACCAAAGCCGGTGGCTAAAGTAGAGCCACCTTCTCCGGTAGCCAACCAGAACTCTCAGCCAGTTATCAATGCTTCAGGTGGCCAGGGCACACCCACTGCTACGACGCCCAATTCAGCAGATGCAACGAACGCTGCAAGCAAGCCAGGTGGCGAACATGCTGAGAATTGCAAGCTTTTTGTATCGAACGTGTCGAACATGATGAACGACGAAACGTTCCGCAAGATGTTTGAAGAGCATGGTGAAGTGCGTGACATCTTCTTAAACAAGACCAAATGGTTTGGCTTTGTGCTGTTTAAGACGCATGAACAAGCAGAGAAGGCTCTGCGCGCCCTTAATGGCACAGAGAAGAATGGTCGCCGGCTGAATGTTAGATATGCAACGCAGCAGAAACCAGACCAAGGTGGGCAGCAGGGCATGCCTCCTGGTGTTCCTGGCCCTCAGCACCCTCAGCAGATGCAGCAGCAGCAGCACCAGCAGCAGCAGCAGCAGCAGGGTCCATTTGGTGGTCCCCCTGGCCAGGGCCCACCAATGCCTCCCCCATATCCTCAGCCTGTAAAGCGTAGTGGGGCACGTTGCCGACTCTTTGTGGGCAACCTAGGCAACAACATGACTGAAGAAGAGTTCCGTCGAATATTTGGCGCATACGGAGAGTTGCTTGAGGTGTTCCTGCATGCCCAGAAGGGCTTTGGCTTTATCAAATACGAGCAAAGGCACCAAGCAGAGGCGGCCAAGGCTGCCCTGGACAACACTCCTCATGAAGGTCGCTACCTGCAGGTGCGCTTTGCCACGCAGGGCTCATCACTGAAGGTCAAGAACCTCAGCCCATTTGTTTCCAATGAGCTGCTGGAAGATGCATTCTCCATCTTTGGTGAGATTGACCGTGCCGTGGTCATTGTGGACGACAGAGGGCGCTCTGTGGGCGAAGGCATAGTGGAGTTTGCACGCAAAACAAGTGCTCTGGCTGCACTCAAGAAGGCTTCTCAAAGCTGTTTGCTGCTCACCGCATCCCCTCGGCCTGTGCTCGTAGAGCCTCTAGATCTGCGTGACGAAGAAGATGGATTTCCGGAAAAGAACATCAACAAAAACAACCCACAGTACCTTAAGGAGCGGGAGATTGGTCCTCGCTTTGCTGAGCCTGGCACCTTTGAGTATGAGTTCTCCAGCCGCTGGAAGAAACTGCTTGAGCTTGAGAAGCAGAAGCGCGAATTTCTGGATCGTGAAATGGAGGATGAAAGGCGCAAGCTTGAGGAAGAGATGGAGTACTACCGCTATGAGCACGAAACCCGGCTGCTGCGGGAGCAGCTCCGCATCATGGAGGAGCAGAACAAGATCTTCCAACATGAGCGAGAAATGCGCCATGCGGAGCATAAACGCCGTGAAGAGATGCGCCGGCAGGAAGAGATGCTGCTGCGCCAGCGCGAGGAGGACATTCTCGGTTTCACTCGCCGAGAACAAGCGGCTCAGCAAGCGGCCAGTATGCAGCAGATGGCGCCGCCACAACAGCAGCAGCTTGACCCAATGGCAGCCGCTGCCGCAGTCCCGACCAAGGCGCCAACAGCTGCCATTGAGGGGGCCACATTCGTCAGCTCATATGACAGTGGCACCCGTGTGTCTCGCTTCGACCAACAGCAACCACCACCACAGCAGCACTATGGCATGCCGGCCGACGATGGCAGGCGCCCCGATGACTATGCTGATCGAGACCCGAAGCGTCGTCGCTACTGATCACTTATCTGCACTCCATCTAAACAGGCCTTGTCGTGTAACACTCACTCTGTGGTCGTCCCTTTCCTGTAAACATTGCTCTCTGCATTGCACTGTGTCTATCTGTCGCTCATTAAACATAGTTCAAACACCATGAAAGCGTCTATGCGCTCATCTGGACTCGTGGTGGCGTCCGCTGCTTCAAAGCGAGCGTGGCCCCTGCGCATCTTCAGTTTTGTTTTGATCTTTATTCTAGTAAATTCTTCTAAAAAAAAGAAAAGAAACCATTTCTAGTCCCAGTTGATACACCCTGAACAGTTTCAGCAGCTTTCATTCGGGCTCAGCTGTGGGAAAAGTATTATGCTGTGCAGTAAATGCCATTTATTACTCTTCCATTGCCTGTAGTTCCTCAGATGAATGTTGAAAACAGAAAAGGTGCCCGTTGGGCACACTCCAATGCTTTACACCATTGACAATGCAACCGACACTGCTGTAATTCAGCAACGGGGTGGACATGATAACGTCTCAACATTGTGCTTTTGGGGGGGATTACACATACTTGCAAAAGCCCCAAAGGAGATTCACTGCACAGGGAGCCTTCGTTGAAATTGCAGAGTTGTGCACGCAGTATGCACATTTCAAAAGTAGATGCGATATCTGCATCCTTGCAACAGAACTTTGCCAAGAGGGGTTACTCCTTTGACGTGTTATTGTGCATGAAATGCTTTTCCAAAAGGTGTCCCCTTGTCTAAAAGAACTGAGTGCCTGTGTGTCAGGGGTATGACTCAGCAGTGTACCTACCCCCTTCGTTCTCTTCGCCGTTGTGGACTATGATGAGCCCCTTGTTACCCTATTTCGTCAGTCTCCAGAGGTTGGTGTTGAGCGCTGGTCTCAGAGATAAGAGGGATATTTTTGTAAAAGAGGCTACTGTCGCTAGAGTTGGGGCTTGCTCGAAACAAGAGGCGTGTGCCTTCGTGAAGTTTCGTAATTTTTCACACTATACAGTCGTCTCTTGTTTTTTTGTATGTTCATGCCTTTAAAGGCCAACTCCAGCGATTTTTTGACCATGTCAGGATAGTGGTGCTTTTATATTTCTGAGACACTCTTGTCACCGGCCCGATAGCTGGAATGCTCAACAAATTTCGCAAATAATTTTTAATTATGAAGAAACCATAATATAAAAACTGAAACCCAGCCAAGTGTGCTCTAACGTGTGACGTAATCATTTGCCCGAACCTGCCCGATGGCCCATAATGCTCGCTAGATGGCATTACCTGTCCACGCCGCAATCAGCTAAAATGTTTACGCTGTTATTGTGAATATCTGGCGAATTGTGTGTGGCTCAGCAACGCAACACCACTTGCCACCTATCGAAAGCCCACCAACACGGAAAAAGAAATCGCACGCTCAACCAAGGAAGCACCGGCCAAACCAACACAATCTATAGCAGACAAGCAGGCACTGCAGTGGCACATCAGTTCCGTCACTTAACACGCAATGTTGCCATTAATTCTGGCTAGCGAGGGGAGCATTTTGATGCAAGCTATAAAATTCACTTCAAGAGAATCGGAAAGCTCTCAAGCTTGCAATTTGGCATGAATGGCACAAACATCAAATGAATTTGCCCAGGGAATTTCATTGAGATCCATTGAAAAGATCGCTGGTGTTGGCCTTTGAAGTGTGTGCTGTTTTCGTTTGTCAACGCCTGAATCTGGTGACAGGCCCTTTGACTTTCATACCACTGAGTTTGCCTGTAACTCGAATACTTGGTTAACAGCCATGCAATCCTAAGTTTTGTTGGGATTACGCACCAGGATAACATTTCACTCCATAACATTTCCAGCATGGGAATAGGCGTAAAATGAGGTTTTATTTTCAGAGGGTGTACTTGCTGTAAAGCATGTCGATCCTCCCCCCCCCCCCCCCCCCCCCATGATTTGAAGAAAATCAGCTCGCTCTTAGAGCATAGCTATCTGATTTAACCCTTTCTCTACCAACGTTTTTGGCTATCAATGATAAAGTTGCTCGTATTTTTTTCTATTGACTACGTATATTGGAGAAATGGAAATTTTTCACCCTGCATAAATCCTCTGCAGTCCATGGTGCAGAAAATGATTTCGTGATAATAAAATTCTTCGGCTGAAGTGCATGCTCTAAATGAGTTACTAAATTTCTTACAGAGCCATCTGTCAAAGCAAAGGAAAAATCTGCTAAAATGAATCTGTGTAGCTTGAATGTGACTCCGCAAAATGCTTGTCAGCCTTGCTGAGCCCTGCTTGTCTTGGGTTAAAGTGCCAGAAGCGGTGGACTAGCAGAGTTTTTCTGTGGTAGGGAAAGGGTTAATTTCTTTCAAATAGTTCATGCGGAGTCCCACAAAGTGGTGGGAAGATTGAGAAAGAGAAATTGACGACTGCCCAATCGTAGCACGATGCCATCAGGATAGTCATGCAGACTTCTCTGAAAGCTTCTTAGTTGCCAAAAATTGTGTCCTAGTTTAAGGATCAAACCTAGTACCGTCTTTCCAGGGCTGTTGCTCTACCAATTCAGGCTTTCCTTGCACATCGTGCTACATATTGGTGGTTCTCAATTTTCTTTTCCTAAAGCTGGGTCTTCCTTGAAAGGTGTGGCTATGCACGACACAGTGCAGAAGTGTACAGTCGTGAAGTGGAGATGTTGGATGGAATATTCACCTGAATACACTTCAATTCAGAAACAATATCATCAATTCTGTAAGTAAAATTCTCACTAAAGTGCAGGAACTGCCTGTGCAATCACGTGACGGGTAACATGTTGATTGAGTAGTGAGACATGTATTGCAGTGATACGCATGCTGTACAGAAGTAATTCCGGCAAACAGTTCCAGGTAGGAAAAAAATATACTGGTATTTTTTTTTTTTTTACCATGGCTGTTCTTTGGCTGTTCTTTGGGTCAGTTACTGCTGTCCCATGTCGCATTGTTTAAGAGAAGTGTTTATTGCACTCGCACAAATTATGTTCACAGTATTCCTCAAAGTTCAAATGACCTCTTGCCCATGCCTTGCAACACAATATCTGAAGGTAGTGTCAAGGTTGGTCAGCCTCCTGAGCATGGAGAAAGAAAAACTGGAGCATAGTTATTGAAGCTAGAAAAATGGGTCTACACACAGGTATTGGCAATGTTCCAGGGAAATAGGAGCACATGCATTCAGTACACTGTCCTTTGTAACTAAAATTGGTGGCTGGAGTAACCCCCCATCTTCGAAGTAGGGTGTGCGACATTGTTGTCTCTTTGCTTGCTTCATTCATGCTCTGGAAGTTAAACAAAGAGAAGAAAAAGTGATGTGGGGAAGAAACACTTATCACATTAATAGGATGGATTAAGCAAGCTGCATCCTAATAGGATGGATTAAGCAAGCTGCAGTCCCCAAACACCATTCGACATGTGGAAAAATCAGCTTTTTCATATTTGTATGTCGTGTAGAGAAAGCTAAAATAGTTCAACTTATCACTTTTAGTTTTCTAAACTAGTAGTGGCTTGACGGCACAAAAAAAGAGTACTGATTATAAACAATACTGCTCTTATGTCAAAATGTTGGGCTTTATGTAGCATCAATGGCACTAATGGAATGTTCAGTTATCATTCAATTTAACAGGGCCTGTCTCTGGCAGTTCAGGCATGTATGGTATTCTTGTCTTCATAGATTAGTGCACACTACTGGGTGCAAATGCAGGCACCATCCTGTGCTCATTTTCATCATTCAATAACTACAGCACACGTAGGAATGATAGACTAACGAGAGCAAACAGACTTAGCACTGACTCTCAACTGTACGATTGTATTGAAGACAAGTGGTCCAGTTCTGTTTTACTCAATGTTTTCTCTAGCCAGCATGGTTGTGATAATTCAAGTATTTATTCTCTTCTAATCACAGTCTTCAGTGAATCATTGCTAGTTCTGTTTGCTTCTTTTATCCGTCAGTCGCATACACATTCCCCCCCTTAAGTTGGTGTACTCTATCTTTCCTGCCCGCGAAAAACATGACAGCGAAATCACTAACTTGCTTAAAAGTAATTATTTGCCATATTGTAAACATGTTTTGATAACTTGCACTGGACAAAAGGGAACGAACCTTCACATACGTGTGGGCTGGGCTTCTATTATTGTGACTAAATGCAGCGACAAAAACTAAATGCAGTGACATAATTGCTGAGACAAAAAAAAATAGATGTTCAGTGCTGCAAATGCAAAATTTTAAAGTGTTATTAGGCACTTGTGAGGCACAGCTATAAGTTGCTTCATTCAATGTGCCCTTGTGGTGGAAGTTGCACCTGATGATAGCCTGCAGCAATGCAGATATCAAGTTTATATTAATGTCTATTACACTTGACTGCCAGAGTAATGTGCAGAGTCAGAGGTCAAGCTCTATAGTGATAGCCTGTGGTCGACCGGCGAGTCTAATTGCTTGTCTGTGCTGAGTATTCTTTACACTCCAGGAGACATGTCTATGTAAAGATTGGTCTGTCTCGAGGCACATTTTCTTGCAGTTTCTCAATTCTTGGGCTCCTGGGGATGAACCAAGTTCGTCAGAGATTGGGTGCATGATCAGGTTCACACCCAAAGCTCCTTGATCTTTTGCAGAGATGCTTGCTAAGTTTTTTTTTTACGTCTGGCCCAGGCACATTGTCATTTCGTCGACTGTAACACTTTAAAAGTTGTTACATTTTATTAGTCTGAGAAATTCTGCAAAGCAGTCTTGATGTCAGCAAAAACATTGGCTGTCTCACTGCCTCCAAGCCAAGTCAAGGCTTGTGTCTTAGTCTGTTTCGTTCCAAAAGGCATAGTCTTATTTTAAAACTAAATACCCGGCCCAGTCATTCGAAGCAATTTGCTTAACAACTCTCCTTTATCACTCAAGTTTTCATATTTAAGTTGGCTCAAATCACAAATTTCAATCTACCAGTTAGTCAGCGTGGTCCCTATGCAATTCTCACAGAATATATAAGGAGCCTCATCTCTTCTATGTCATATTCATTCTTTCGTTTAAAAATCTCTGCATGTGAAAAAAAAAAAATCCAGTGCCCATGAAAGCCGGTTTTCCTAGTTGGCTAAGTTTAGGAGTTTGGACCGTAATTGAGATTATTATCCTTAAAAATTCACTGCCGATACTCTGTCTACAAGA